CCACTTGAGGCAGGTTATCTGTCCACCCCCCGCCCCCTGTTTCCAGTCTTTGTGCTAAGATAAGCTAACCTACTGCTGGCTGTGGCCTATAATATATAACACACAGATATAATCCCATCTAATTCTTCCAAAAATGGCCAACTTTAGCTTTAAGTAAATGCACCTATTGCACTGCACCTCTGACAACAGATAACTTTAAAGAATACTATCTATAAAAAAAAAAAACTATTAAAATAATCAAAAACAAATGTTTAAATTAACAAAACAGGGAATGTTTGTAAGCAACACCAGCTCTGTTCCTGATGGGACATCCCAGCACAGTAGTAACTGTGGTTTCCAGTCAGGCCCCTCCCTTACTATGAGGGAGGATGTTGCCATGACAACTTTACATTATGCAGCACCCCATGAAAGAGTCTTTTCAGATTAAAAAAAGAAAAGAAAAGAAAGACAGAAACAAGTTATTTGCATTCCTTTTCCATTAAAGATTTTGTGTGATAGAAAAAAGGCGGTATGAGGTTTATTGTTTGCTGTGTGTCGGAGGAGGGGGGAGGGGGTCGATCTCGATGCATCTGAAGGCCTCACAACTATTTTAGAAAACTAATGCACTGTGTGTGTGCGCCGCAGTCAAAGGGCCGCTGCTTAACATGCAGCGCACAGTCACAGGCTCTCTGCAAAGATTTTTGTTCGTTTCAGCATCCCACCTCTGTTTTTTTATTTTATATATCTATATAACAGCTTGAAAATTCAAACTTCAGGTCCATTCAGACAGCATATAGTATTGATCCACGGCAGCTGGGCACGTTAGTTTTGAGAATTCAACACAAAAATAATGAGGCTGGCTGTAAAAACTCAAATATTCGTGATCAAACTTTGGATTCATGGGGATGAAAACAAATCCATAACAGTGTTTTGAGCCTTACGTGATTTAGATGAAGAATCAAATAGAAACATCAAAGCAGCAACAGTCAATAATCCTCCGCCAGATGTCTTTAGTTCTTATAAACCAGGTCAAGCTAATTCTTTCCAGAGTTTTAAGGGCAAAACCAGAAGATTCAGACCAGAGTTTTACCATAATTTCATCCTGCACTGGTCACAGCTGCCTGCACCTGCTGCTGTCATTAGTCCAGTAGAGCATGGCGGGATTAGGAGAGAGTCCTGTGAATGGCTGCTGAATAATTGACCAACTTCTTTTGTCTCATTCATGCTGTTTTGATTGGACATATGTTGGGGACTAAATTGCAATGAAAGTTTGATGTGGAAATGGTAATTATGGGGCTTTTCTGGAGTGAAACTGCTGTCAAATGTGCAGTGTCGTCTAATTCAAGCTACTGCACAACAACCAGGAGGTTTTCTGATATCTACAAGGTGATAGGAGAGCGCAGTTATGAGCAAGTGATGGCTGAAGTATATTTGTGGTAAAGCAGCAAATATACTGTCAATGTACAGTGATGAAGGATTTGAGGCAGCATGAAATCTCAATCTTCCTGCTATACAAAGTGGTCGATAACTGTACATTTACTCAAGCACTGAACTTAAGTACAAGTTTGAGGTACTTGTACTTTGAGTATTTCCTGTTTTATACAACTTTTTAGAGGCAAATATTGTACATCAATCCACAAAGCCTCACTTACTAATTACTTTGCAGATTCAGATTGATCCAAATATAAATCAACTAATAAATGATGATATATTTTTATAGGTAAAGCTACCCAGGTATATAAAGTAACATGTACAGTAGGTTAAATTAGCTTTACCTTTACCAGCTTATAGCAATGTACACATGTGGACATTCTGCATAATGACAACTTTTACTTTTGGTATTTTAAGTATATTTTGATGCCAATACTTTTTTTCTACACAAGTAATAGTTTATATGTAGGACTTAACTTGTAACAGAGTATTTTTACACTGTAGTATTGCAACCGTCCTCTTCCATCACTGGATATATATATACATATATATATATATATATATATATATATATATATATAGGACTTTTTTTTAAATGGGGCCTTGACTCAGAAATTGGCTACTACAGAGGGTTTTTAACTCTTAAGAATAATTGCTATGTCTAAAAGAACCTTTTAAAAAATCCAGTAGAAGAACATCAGTAAAAAATAAATCATCTAAATTTAGCATTTAATCTAAAGAGACTTTTATTTTAACTTTAATAGTAGCGATGCAACTAATGATTATTCTTGATGATTATTTTCTTGAATAACTGTCTTCAAATTCTTTTGTTTTATAGATATGACACAGAAAAGCAGCAAATTCTCACCTTTGTGCAGCTGGAACCAGACAACGTTTGTCATTATTTCTTGAAAAATGATCATTTGAATATTGCAATATTAGCTGATTGATGTTCTGTTGAGCAACTATATGTTATAACACTCATGCCAGCGCTTACCAAGCTATTTAAAGGAACACACTTCAGCAATATACTTTAACCTAAAATGTAAAAGCAGTGTCCAAACAGGAAAGGGAAGCAGTTTATCACATTAATACAGAGTGTGCCTCACCCCATGTCTACTTCCTCCAGTTTTCTCTTGCCTCGCCTCGCCTCGCCTCTCTGCGTCTGTGAGGTCAGCTCAGTAGCTTGACTTTGACCATGTGTTCATGTCATGTAGATCTGAAGACAGAAGGAAGAAGTCGACTTCAGCATCACCCACATTGCCAAAACTTTTCTCTCAAACACACTGACAAATAATGATTCACAAGCACTTCAAAGCGTATATTTTTTATTTCATGATTATTTACTGTATACTCTGGACACAAAGAGGCAGTTGTATTTAGATTGGCTGCTAATCTCAGTGGTCCTCTGTTGATGTCACACTGATAATCCCCTTGTAGCTGTAGTAGAAATGAGATCCCAGCCTGCTGGTAATGTGCTGTGGAGGCTGTAGATGTGGCTGTGGATATACTGTATTTGTTAAAGGTCAGAATGATTCAGTGAAGAGAATTGGCAGTGACGTTGTGTCCTTTAAAGTAACTGGGAGTAGGAGTAAACCATCTCTAATGAGTGAACTCACGTGAACTCAAGACTGCATAAGAAAACATTGCGATTAAAACGTCACAGACTCATTTTTGGGTGCATATTTTAATTTTACTTGATGTCAGAGAGAATCGGCTGCAATTATGCAAACATTCAGCATTGGGGGATTTGAGATTCAGCATTAAAAGACAAGTGCTTTTGATTTCTAACTCCCAGAAACCCACTGCTGGAGTACATGTGCACTGAAAATGGCTCAGATGTTGTGACTCACTCTTGCTAGGCATGGTGTTGCTGAGACCTCCTTCCTGTCCAGGTTGTTGTCTGATCCCCTTTGTCGGCTTCATGACGCACTTGAGTGGGAAAACATCCTTGAGCCACTCTCTTATCCATCAAAAAAATCCCAAACTATGACACGAGACCTTTTCTCTACTAGCTGTGGATGAAATGTTACAATAAGAAGACCCGTCACTACCTCCTGCTGCAGTGTCAGAGTGAAAGTAAAGATCCTGCTCTTCAGGTGTTAGGTTGAGCTGCAGGATAAGGAGGGATTGAGAGGAGCATAATCCCTCACACATGGCTACAGCAACTTTAAACGTGCCAAGTCACGAGCATCTTGACATCTCATGCCATTCAATGCACAGCCCATAGCCTCTACCATATAGGCCTGAATATACCTGTCTTTTTGTCCATTATGGCAGTGGTTCCTAACCCCTTTTATATCACTGAGTAAAGTGACGACCCCCGACTAACTGACATACTTTATATTGAACTGATAAACTGTACAATTAATCCGAATAGTAAACACAACGACTGCAGGGAGTTTGTGTAATATTACCTGTGAATATTGCATCAGAGATGAGTTTTCCTGATATATCTAGGACCTTTTTATACAATTCTCATAGTCAGTATTATGTTTGTTTTTAACAATCATACATACTTAATAGACTCTTTTTCGACAAATTCATTGTTATCTTTTCCTTGACACTTGGCCATTGTTCTATTCGGTCTTTGGTCGCTTTAACTCATATTTAAAAGGAACACTGACATTTCTAATGCAGGATGAGACCAGAGTAAAGCTCTGTGAATATAGCATAAAATCTAAATAAAAATAACAATTTACTTTAATTTTCTTCAAATAAATGAACATAAATGATTACATTATATTACATTAAATATAGGACTACTGTATATATTTACCCTCGGTGGCACTGCTTGATTGCTTGTAACAGAAACTAGTAACTGCTCAGGTTACAATCAACAAGGCCTTGCACCCCTGTGTGAAGCTTTGGCGACCTCTAGTGGGGGTCCTGAACCCCAGGTTGGGAACCACTGTATCAAGGTAATAATATATTTCTAATAGATGCAAATATATGCAGCAATTATTATCAAATAAAAAAGCTGAACAGTTTCTTTGCTTTGAGTAAGAAAGCATGTGTTCCTTGAGGTACACTCTAACATTCATATAGTTTACAGTCTCTTGGGAGCCCTCAACAGAAAAAATAGCGGATTAAGAACAGCTGTTCTCAGATTTCAGTCTGGTGCAAATTACTGAACGGTCAAATGTTCACTGTTGTTGACTCAAATGAAAACACATCTGTTACATCTGAGCATCAAACCATTGATTGTATTATGAAACATATTCTGGTGTCATAAATTCAAAATCAAAACATTCCCATTGACATGGCTAATCGACACCACTTAAAAGGAAAATGGCAAAACGGCAGAAGGCTGATGAGCCTGATGAGGACTACTGATAAAGGAGATACTCTGCTGCACTCTAGTGGTTTACAGGCTGAAGTGGGACTTTTACAGTCTGCGTGTTTACAGATAAAAGTGTTGTCATACTCTTTTGCTACCAAGAGTGTTTTACTATAAATAACTGTACAACTGATTTACGTCAATATTAGTTAATACTCTTAGTAATACTCTTCAGTTATTTTACAAAAAATATACTGAATATATTCACCACCAATTCAACCAATCAGTCTAAAGAAACACCAAGAACCAGTTTTCAGTTTACACAGCAACATGTGATTTTTATTTATTTCTCAGATGTCATCATCAGAAATATAAACTGCAGTAACGTCACAATTTGCAGCCCTGTGGTCTAGTGATCAGAGATCATCGTTTGCTCAACATAGTGATCAGTCTTTTCTTTTTCATTGTGAGACTTCTGATTGTAAAAGACCAAGCAGAGCAAGCACCTATTTGCCTCAGGTGTGAAAACTACAGCAGACACGTCAAAAACGGAAAAAAAACTCCTTTTCCAGTGTACAAAAGACATTGCTGGGGAAATTAATGCCAGAACAAGACACATTTAATCATTTGGTGAAAGATAATTTGAGCGAGTACATAAGAGTACGACGAGAGAATCAACATTTCTGCAGGTAATCATTAAAAACAAAAGGAAAAAGATTAAGTCTAAATAATATAAAAGCCACATACTGGGAGCCGGTTTGGGTAGAGCGACATGAAACAACACCAGTTTTAGGCTTTTTCTAGAAGTTGTAACGTGATCAAAGTTTGCATACGGCATTGACCTTTTAGGTTTACAGGGCTTTTAGTAAGTAATTGTAATTGATGTTTTGTTACTACGGCAACTACTCCCCAACAAGGAAGTTGTTTTGAAAAGGGCAAGTAAGTATTCAAATTCCATAGCAGCTCTACTGCTGTAAGCCAGTCAGATGTAATGTAAAGGGCATCCATTGTAATGCTCGAGGCTGTTAAAAAGGTGGCAGCAGGGGGCATTGTGGGATACACAAAGGAGGACAGACAGAGTGGAGAAGATTGGGACTACTTGTATAAATTGTGTCCACGTTGGTAGAATAGTATCTCAGCTGTAGCAAGCTGCAAAATAAATCCAAATCCAATCCAAATGTAAACAAACACTGATTCCTCAATTAAATGTTGTACGGAGACATTTTTCTACATTCAAACCAAGAGACAGAGTTATTTGTGTTAAAGACACATTTGTCCTTGGATTCTTTGTTCATAAGGTTTATAAATTACAAAACTGTAAACTGAGTAAATCATTTTCAACAATCTTTGTGACTGTTCGTTTACAGGAGGTTATACTTCAAAAGACGTTAAACTACAGGCAATTTTCACGCTCAAATTAAAGATATCTTCATTTTAGGTTGAATGGAAGCGAGAGTTCATGAGCTGTAGCAATCCCAGTCCCAAAGTGACTATTTTAGAGCTGAAGTAGTTGATAAATTGATTTATCAACAAGCAGAATTTAACAATCAAATAATAATGTGAGTAATTTTCCATGTGAAAATGCAGAAATTATCTGGTTCACCTTCTAAACTGTGTCTAGAAAACCAGCAAAAGTTCTTCAATGATCAAATTTTTGATATCTTCTATCAAAACAAGCATTTTGAGTTCTGTGATGGGCCTTTTTCACCTATTTTATGGACTTCAATGATTAACCAAGACCAACATCAGTCATTAGTTACTTTACTTGCCACTATGTGAAAAGGGTTTTCTAAATTTAGGTTACATGCAGACCACACACACACACAGTGGTAAGTCACACTGGGCCTTTTGTGTCATCGGTTCATCAACTTCATTTGCATTACAGGGAACAGGAAGACACCCACAGCATGTCAACACACTGTCGACACTCTCAACAAAGAAGATATGGATGTTTGGACCATTTTTTTTTATATCTGTGCACTCACATACTTCACTCTCTTACCCTTCATTACTTAATGCTATGTAAACATATTGATAATCAGAAAAATACTATGTCTTTACATTATGTACAAAGTGAATCACTAACCAGCAGTTCAGTGTGATGGAATGTAGGAAAGGTTTCTACCATCCTTTGACAATCAAGGAGTCTCTACTGGTGGTGGATCGGCTACATTAAGCTTTAAGGCAATGCACTGTCGTGGGTGTTGTTGCCATCAAGGCAATGGCACAATGCAGTTTGAAAGGCAAGTGGTGTGAAATGGTCAACAGGGCTGAATTTAGCTCCAGTTTGGGCCTTTTCATGGATTACCTTTATATTCGAGTCACAGAGCTAAGCATCTATTTATAAGAAATAATAATAATCGGTGATCTTTGAAAAGCAGAGGCGGTTGTTTAAAACACTCACAGACTCTTCTAACCATCTAGACAACATGATAAAAAAGACTTTTAACTTATCCAGGAGCCGGAAATTATATTATTCTTTGCTCATTTTGTACAGCACAAGTAACATAAGTAAAAGCCAGTTCTATATATATAATGTCATAACATTATTATGGACAAATATAACTGATAATAAAACTAACAGACTATTGTTTTCAAAGAAACAAATTAGCCAAGAAATTACATATGTGTGTCATTTTACATTTTTAATTTGTTTTTTAATGTTTATATTGTTCTTGTGCTATACAAAATGAGCATGGTCTTATATCATTTCTGGCTACCTGTATCTGAAATACAGTAGCAACTTGGGAAATACCTTCAAAACTGCCAAAATTGCTGTTAAACAACCTTCTGGTATTTATTTTCCAGAATAACAGACCCTTAGCTCTGTGAATTAAACGTAATGGCAATACACGTGAGGCACAAACCGGGGCTACAGTTGGCTGAATTATGACCAGTTAGGGAAATTGTTGCAATTTAACCTTGTTAAGAAAAGTGCAGGCCTAGAGAAAATGTGAAATGACTACATTCAAAGTAGACAAATTAGACCAGACTGTCAAAATAATCACATGCCTGATGATCATTTCAGTGTTTCAACGCTTTTCTCTCCAAGCATTAGCATTAATCGTGTGTTAGCCTACAGTATACAGGAAACATTTCCTACGTGCACGTCTACCCCATGACATTATGGAGGAGTTCTAACACATTTACAAACTACTGATACATACACAAGGTACAACAAGTACCACAGTTGGTATACACTGGCTTATAATCTGTGACTTTATATATTGTAGTAATATTAATATACCAGGAATTTGTAAAAAGTGGCATTGCAGTTTAAAACCAATTTATCTGATTTCGTCTTCATCTTCATCATGCAGAGAAAAATGAACATATTCTACATTTTCTGCTGGTACAAGGCCACTGCGATCTTTTTGAGGTAACAAGCAAAGGAACCAAAAAGCAAACGGAGCGATACTCAACAGGAGGATGCAACAAAACTAAAAGACACCGTAACAGCAGCAAGTTAAGGTACAACAAATCTAGTAACCCTGAATGAAAGACACTGAAACTCAGTCTCAAATTGTCAGAGCTAAATAGCAGCATCATATAGTCAGTAGTGTTCAACATCAACATCATCACAGACAGTAGCATATACAGTACAGTACATAGACAGCTAAGCAGGCAAAGAGGCTCCTGTGTAAAAACACCAATTTGCCATTTGTCAGTTTAGTTAATAACCCCCCAGGGAAAAACAGGAAGTTGTGAAAACAACAGCTTTTTTTGTATGGACAAAACAGAAACACACGGAGCAGTTCATTGCATCTTGCTCTTTGCAATTCATAAACCTGATACAGAGTCAGCTACAGAAGGAACCTTACAAGGTGACATAACTTGAAGGTTTTTTTTAATTTTCTTTCAGATTCCTGTCTTTTGCATGATATGAGAGGATACATCTGCACTGTAGATTGGAAATAAGAGCAAATATCAATTTAGATTAAACTCAGGGAGAAAGTCTCTCTTTCTACTCTAGGTTTGTTTTATTTCCAGGTTCGTTTAGAACTTCTGCTGGGAGTCACCAAGTCTCTAGACTGGATGGACTTTTCAGAAAAGCTATTAGTTTTACGAATATCTTCACGTGTCTGAGGTGGCGGGGGAGTCTCGCTGCGGTAGGCACTGCGACTGGCTGCTTTCACACTTAGCACCCGTCGCAGGTTTGTCCCTTGTGGCCGCTCCTCGCTAGTTTGAACTGTGGGTGACAACCTGTTCTGCTTCACAGGAGTTTGTCGAGCTAGAAGTGAGGGGCTGCGAGACGGGGTGGAGGGGACGGACGGGGTGCTCAGCTCCTTCTTGACCCTGGAAGTCGAAGCTACGGTGTTGCGAGCAAAGCTGGGGACACCGGAAGTGTTTTTTATGCTGAGTGTGTGAGAGCTGCTGTTCTCAGAGGAAGCTCCAGCCTGAGCCAGAGCCTGAGCCTGAGCCTGAGCCTGAGCCTGAGCTTGGGCTTGGGCTTGTGCCAGGGCTCTCATGGTGGAGCGGCACATCTTCTCCTCAGGTGCAGGCTTGGGGATGTTCCTCAGAGGTTTGGCGCTCGGCTTGTGGATGGAAGCCTTTTTTGGGGTTGAGTCACGTGCCCATCTCGAAATGCCGCCTGTGAGGCCGCTTCCCTTCTGAACCTTCGACTCATCAGGAGGCAGACTGGAGTGTCGAAGCGGTCTTGTGGTCTTCTCGCTCCTTCCCCTTGCCGGGGTGCTCTGGTCTCGAAGAGGCCGGCGTGACTCTCCACTGTCATGCACCTCTGCTTTTTTGCTGCTACCTGTCCTTGCAAGCTTGCTAATGGGCACGACTTTGCGCATGCCCTGGCTCTCGCTGCTGGTCAGCGTTCGCACGCTGCGACCTCCACTGGATTTAGTCGCTTTGTTAGCTTTGCTCTTTGTGTGAGCTGGTTTTCTGCTGATTTTCTGAGCATCTTTCTCCACAACTTGTTTTCCCTCAGCAGTGTCACAGCTCTCTGTGTCCCACTCCTCTGTGGTAGGAGACGGAGTCATGGATGCTGCGTCTACAGATTTTGGCGCCGAAAGCTCATTTGTTGAAACAGACTGATCGTTGGGAGACATAGACTCCAAATTAGAGGACAGAGAGCTTGGATCTTGCTGGCTCTCCTGATCTTTGCTGCACTCAGTCATTCTGAAAAGTCCCTCTTTGGTTAGAGACGAGCTTTCAACCTCAGAGTAATCCAAAGTGACAGAGCAGTCTGTTTCTGTGCAGTCTAGTATATAAAACATTGGTTTCTTATTGGATACAGAGGTGTCTAGTGGGAGGGGTGTATCACAGGTTGTTGATGAAACTGTGCTGTTGTCCTCTTCTTCTTTCTCTGGAGAGACGTCAGACTGTGTGGGAGTATCTATTTTACCTTCCCAGGCTGCTTTGGGATCTGCTCTTCTTTCTAAAACTCTATCATGTAGGAGGTTGTCCAGACTTGTGGGAGGTGACGGTCTTTCCCTTTCCAAATCAGTCACTACGACATCCCCCTGGTTGACAAAGTGCATATGATTACTGTTATTGTTTGGACTAGGAAGGTCAAAAGCTTGAGGACCTCGAACTAAAGTGTGCTTCTCCACACTAACATTCATGTGGCCGGTAACTGTGGGGGTTGGAAGATGAGCGGGCTTTTGAAAGACACAAAAGGAATGAGGCAGAGCGCTGCCCTCTGACACAGATGAGTAAATATTGTTGTTGTATGGATCATTATCATTTAGCCCAGAGGAGGAAAACTTGGCCAGTGGGCTGATGGGCTCAGTTTCTGCATGGGGAGACGTCACCTGCCTGTCACAGCCCAGCTCACGGTTGTCGTCCTGGGCCGAGATCCAGGGGGTTGTTTTACGTTGCATGATGCGGCCCGGCCGAGGTAGGCTGTTAAACTTGGAATAGTCTGTGGGATTCCCAGTTCCTCCAAATAGTTCAAGGTATCCTTGGAGCTCTCGGTCCGCTATGGAGGTCATGGTGTGACGGTGCCGGCGGGCGCTGGCAGAACGTCCCAGCGGGCTATGTGGACTCTGAGACCTCTGCTGGAAGAAGTCCAGAAGCCCTTCCTTGGTGAGCATCTCCACGTCGTTCTCGCTGCTGCTCCGACCAAATACGCTGCTCTGATCCGCACCCGACCAAGCAAAGCGCTTTTCCTCCAACTCTCTTAGACGACGCTGTCTGGCTGCTTCCTTCAACTCGCGATCCGTGTTGTCCTGAGAAAAAAGGAGGGGAAGGAGGAAGAAGTGTTTAGAGGCAGGCAGGAAGGAATACAAACCAATAATACAATAATATCAAATCAGATGAGAAGAAATTAACATTTCAAGCATCCTTTTACCTCTTAGTGGATATTTCCCAGTTATTTCAACATGGGTCTTAATTTCAATGTAGAAGTTGTAATAAACCAGAATGGTCTGTTTACTAAAACTGACCTTGACAGCTTTCTTGAACTTGATGCAGAAATCTTGAAAGATACGGAAGCACTCATCAAGCTTAAAGGTGTCCTTGTCTTCGCAAAAGAAATCGATGAGGGCGTTTCCCTCTTTACGCAGATCCAGCCTGCGTCTCTTCAGGTCCTGAAGTGTCTGTGCTGAACTCTAAGACAGGACATCGGACACACGCATTTTTTACTCTATAAAATGTTGTACACTTTTATGGGTGTCATTGTCTATGGTACTTGAGTCAGCAGTGCCAGAAATGTACACTGGCCTGGATCCAACTTTCTGTATGTGTGTCTGTGTATATAATGTATTATGTAACTACAGTACTGCGGCTTCACCTGCAAAAAGGGCTCCAGCTGCTGCAGTAGCTCCTGGTCTCCTTGAACCTTCTCCTCCAAGGATTTAATCCGAACGTATAAGGAGGAAAACTCCACCTCGATGTTTTCTACTGAGATTCTACATGAAAACATTACAGCAGAAAGGAAATGTGCTTAAAGAATTTTTTTTAGATTAAATACATAATAATCATATTATGGACATCAAACTGTCCTGATAACGCTGCTTAGCGTTAAAATATTTGACAGCATTTTGCTAAATGCACTGTGAGACTGTCAGCTGTTAAAGGTGAAGATAGGACCGCTGTGAGAAAATGTGTTCACATATCCTGAGGGAGGGAGGGAGGGAGGGAGGGGAAGTCTTGGCTCTCTCTGGTGCAGAAGCTGTACTGACTTCACACAGAGATGACCTTGTGAAGCTGACAGAGCCTGACAGCCACCAGCATCACACACACACTGCATTCTGAAAATGACTCTCAGAGTACTGCACTTAAGTCAGATGTCAGCCTGCGTAATGAGGCTGGATGTTACTGTCAATTCAGCAGTACATAAAAATGTTAGAACCTCAGGTTTGAACAAATGGTTGTTCACACTTCTGGTCATTTACAGAACACAGAAATAAAAGATAAAAGAAGTACATGCTCAACATTTATTTATAACAAGGGTATTATGGAATAGTAAATGTTGGTGTTACTGGTGTTATTACAGTGTTGTTAAACTAAAACCTGGTACAATAATGTGATTCATGCAGAGCCGGTAGCACTGGCTTTTGAACAATGCTAAAAACTACCTGTTTTCAGGTAACTGAGTGACCAATCACTCTCTTTGGGGCAAAACTGGTAAGACTACATTTACAACGTTGTCTAAAAATGTCAGTAACAGTTTACCTGGATGCACTCTGGACATCATGAAGTTTCTCTGGAAACTTGAGCAGCTTCTCGTCTTTTTTCTTTGCCTCCTGTGTGGAGAAACAGATCATGCAATTTGCATCCGAATGTTTGTTACCGTGCACAATAAAGTGGCATCATTGCAGTGACAAGGACTACTCTTTGTTTGGTTATGTAAGTGCTTGGCCAACGTCTCTTGGCTCTCTTCTGTTTCCTGTCACCATCTGCTGTCCACCTGCCCTCCTGTAGTCCTAGTATTTGGATGCTGTTTACATACGCACCACTGCTGTGAAAGATTTATATAAAGCTAACTCTTTATGGCTGACAAATGACTGTCTCTTTATTCATGTTGGACTGAAATATGGTATTTTTATTTTTATTTCATATATATAAAGTTTTGTGTGATTTAACTGTAGTAATCATGATCCACCACAGACTTTCAAAGTAAAAGAGTTTCCATAGTACATTACATTACTGCAGTTTAGTGTATCTCATAGGTACAGTGTACAGTCAGTACATTAACAACAAACAGGACCTCTGTGTTAAAAAGGTGCTATATAAATAAAGCTTTTCTTACTTACTTACCTACTTACTTAATGGGTGAAAATTTTTTTTTTACTATTTTACTTGATGTAACACAATAAGTAACCCTACAACAAACAGTAGCCATGTGAAGATTTCAACATTCAATTTAATACTGACATTGTATTGAGAGAAGTTGATTTAACTCTAAATTGCCCCCTTTGTAGTTTTGTATTGGGTTATATAAAGTAGTACAGGTATTAAAGCTGCAGTAGGAAACTTTTATGAAAATAAGTTCTTGTCATGTATCCGGACAGTAGTACATGAGAAAGATAGTCGGTTAAAAAACAGGTTCCTCTGGCTCCTCCAAGTGCTCCTAATGGCATTTGCAAGAACCCACCAGGCCTGAACGAAAACAACCAATCAGAGCCAAGAAAGATATAGTGAACATTTAAGCAAATATGAATAGTTATTTTCATAAAAGTTACCTACTGCAGCTTTAATTGTATGATATGCATCCTATTGTATTACTGGAATCTTCACTAACCATGGCGACAAAGTGCAGCAGATTCATTCCTGGCTTGTTGGCCTTGGTGTCAGCCAATGAGAGGAGGGATGACAGCTTGAACCCCACAGCGTTGCCTGCGTAGCCACCCTGAGAACCACAGACGGACAAATGAAAGATCTCAAAGAAACATATCAAAATGTTAAAAAGATAAGATGGTGATATTCTGAAATCAAATTCCATGAAAAGACCAAAACCAACAATGAACTGATCTACAAACAAATCTAGCCTAAGTAGCCAAAGCTTGGTATAGATTATTCCTCTGTGTTATGGACCTCTATTGGTGTCCAAAAAGGAATCATTTTAAGAAATACACTTATTTGCATTTTTGGTGGGATTAACACAAGAAGATTGATACCACTCTTTTAGAGCAAGGAACCAGTTAGTTTAGTTTAGCAAAAAAATTGTAAACAGGGGGAAACAACTAGCCTGGCTCTGTCTGAAGATAGAAAAATCAGACCTCAACACCACAACAAAATAAACAAACTAGATACAACATGTTAATTAGTGACTTTTAACCTTCGGACAGAGTCAGGCTAGCTGTTTCCCCTGGTTTTCAGTCTTTATGCTAAGCTAAGCTAAACCAAATGCACTAATTACTCCTGTTAAAGTAATAATTGCCAAAAACTACAGAGCTCAGCTAAAGAAATTACTTAGATGACAATATATCTGTGATGTGTTTTTAAAAATGTATGTCTTCAGTAGGAATGAATGGACACAAAAAGAAAACCACATTGTTTTTTTTAGAAAATATATGAAGTAAAGTGAGCCTAATCCTTTAAACCAGACAGGACAGGAGAGTGGTAATAATGTATTAAGTGAATGTAAGTTTAGACTCACAGCGTTCATGATGTTTCCGGCCTGCAGCACCAGATGCAGAATGGCATGAAGCTCCTCGCAGCTCATCAGCTCTATAGGATGAGATCAATATAAACTCAATTAAAGAATCCAGAGCAGATACCATCAGTGCATTACAAAGTACTTCACTCTCATTTACCACCACTACACAGAACCACTATCAGCTCTAATGACGGCCGATAGGAAGTTAACTGAAACTCCTTTTTTGCATTTTGACCATCTTTCCCTTTTAGTATCAACAGTGAGGGCAAATGTTAAATACTGTTGAAAGTTTTCATTAAATGGTGTCATTAAAAGTTTGACTTAATTCGTCCCTTGCAGCGTTTAACGGATAGCTCTGCAATGCAGTGAAAAGGTCAGAGTACTGTAGAAGAGGGTTTAAGAAAAATCCAATAAAGCCCAGAGAGGCAAGTGTGACTCAGCTAAAATGACACAGGCTCAAGTGATGGTTGCAAAAAAACCCCAACATAGTTTATAATATTTCTCACAGTTCCTTGGTCAGTTCACAAACACCCAGAATATGTTTGGAGATATTAATACAGGTATGTGTGTAGACTTGTGTGTGTTATTTTACTATAAATTACACATGGGATGCATTCTTGTCCCCACTCAGGGTGAACTGTTACAACTCTGGTGAAACTTTTTATCTAGTTCCATCATCTGGTCAAAAGGTCCAATATTAGTAAAGCCTTAGTTGTACGTCATGCAAATTATTTTAGCATGCTAATATGTTATATCTGCATATTATTATTTTCTATGACCATGTTGGCATGCTATCATTTGAGCATTTAGCTAAAGCATCACTGAACAATACAGCCTCACTAAGTTGTTAACAAATTTGAAAGGATATTATTAAAAACTTGTTGCTGTTATTCTGCAGCAGCTCAGCATGTTTGACAAAATGGAGGTAATACACACAAAAAATTGTGGCAATTTTTGCAAACTTTGAAAGTAAATTATATACTTTAAATAAGATATAATTTATATATATTTAAAAAAAAATCAACATTAAAACAGTTTAAAGATGACACAGCCTTGTCTTTCCATTCTGTCCCCACATCACTGTATCTCAGGTGACACATTCCTACTTTTTGTACACTGCTGACAGCTCAAATATCTGGGTCACCTGTCTGAGTACATGTGACTGTGTGTGCCTGTGTGCATGTGTGTGTGCGTGTGTGTGTGTGTGCGTGTGTGTGTGTGCGTGTGTGTGCGTGTGTGTAGGTAGCAGAGCCCGTGTGTTATTACCTTTAGTGGCGACGCGGACGACATCGATCTCGTGGCTCATTACAGCACAGGAAGGGAAGAACTCTTCCTGGAGGACAATAGCCTCGATCCGAACCTCGAATCTGGCAGAGAAGAAGAAGAGAGTGGTCAAGAGGTGAAACATTATTTTCAGGGATTTTTATATATGCATACATAACTTGACATATCTTTATCTTGGGCTGAGTGGCAGTGGGAGCTGATGCACCTCCAGATAGTCATGACTCATTTAAAAAGTATTGTTACTTAATTTAATACTCTCTGAAAGTAGTATCTTTATTCCAATCAGCCAACCAGTTTTACTTCTGCATCATACCCAGTAGTTATTTTATCATCTCCATTACACTAATACTACTTTAATGTGTTATCACCTGTTTTTGCAGAAAAAGAAAATTTGGATTTTGATTAAAAAATTCCATAAAATATAGAAACCTTTAGTGTTTGACTTAAATATTTACAGATAGGGTCATTGTAACATTTTGGGAATAATCTACAGATTATTACTCAATCATTGCAAACTCTAGTACATTACATTTAAAACTGTGAATGTGCACTGTCCATTAAAACCCATAAATAAAAAAAAAATTAAAAAATTTTTTTAGTGATTGAGGAGAGACGTAAAAGTTTGATGTAAAATGTCCATAAAATGCAAATTTATGGCGCCCGGATAGCTCAGTGGGTAGAGCTGGCGTCCCATATACCGAGGCTGAGTCCTTGCTACAGCGGCCCAGGGTTCGAACCCGACCTGCGGCCTTTTGCTGCGTGTCATCACCTCTCTCTGCACCCCCTTTCCTGTCTATCTTCAGCTGTCACTATAATAAAAGCGATAAAAAGCCCCAAAAATATACTAAAAAAAAAAAATAAATGCAAATTTATCTTCACAAAATGATTCGAAAGAACAAACATCTTCTTCTTTTACTGACAGTAAAAGAAGCAACTTCACACTTCCGTTTTTTACTGAAACTACACTATGTACACAGCATTGAAACCAACTTACTGAGGCACCTGGATCAAGAGGTACATAAAGGAATCGACCAGTGTCAGCTTGTCTGGGTCTCCTTTAAAAGCCTGAAGTTTCTTGATCTGTTGGGAAAACACAGAGAGAGAGAGGAAGCTCAGCAGGCTGTATTGTTTTCTATCTACATTCACTCTTTTATCATATCAACACAGATGTCCATAAACACAGACCTCCTCTGCGTCAGGCAACAGCTTCAGGAGGTCTTTGAGCAGCTCCGCACCATAGACCTTTCCTTCTCCACGTCGTATGTCTTCAACAATAGAGCGGTTGGACCTGGAAGGCAGACGGTTCGTTTCAATTTAGTTTGATGATAAATAGCACAGGTGCCCTCTTTTAATGCTTGCTCCCTTGTGTTTACAAAGGCACTTAATCCAGCTGTGACTCACAGAGTCAGACGTCCCTGTCTGGCTTGGCCTCATTAACAGGAAAACAAGCCAAAAATATGGACAGTGACAATATAAGTAAAATGAAAAACACCCTCTCCAGTGGATCTCCAAATTACAACCTGAAATGTTTCAGCATCTAATCAGAATCAGAATCTGGTTTATTGCCAAGTAGGTTTTCACATACAAAGAATTTGCCTTTGATCAATTGGTGCGTCACAATTAAAAATAAAAAATACAAATAAAGATAAAATAGAGACAATAAAAAGAGACAATATATTAAAAAAAGAGAGACAACATAGATTCAGGTTGGGTGGTGGGAATAAGAGTGAGTGGGGGTCCCCTCTTCTGTACATTTCATTGCTCCTTACACACCCGACATGACATTCCCAGTTCAATATGTATTCTCAATCATCAGTCATTACTGCTAATGACATTCATCTATAAATAATTAATAATTAAGGATCTTACATATTTAAAGAGCATTTTTACCTCACAAAATATAAAACTAATATTAATATGTATTTCTTATCAATTAATTAGTTTTGTCCACCAATAACATCTGGGGTGCCAAATCGAACATTATGGTGGGCCCAACTTTTGGCAGCCCTGATCTATGACACATCAAAGTCTGTAGTACTGCAACACAATTCCCAATTACATCACCGCTATAAAAGACAACCATTAGAAAACCCTCAATGACAATACGCAGTAAGCTGACACCTTACAATATGATGCAACCCTAACCCTTAAACAGTAGCTCTGTAATGAATCTCACCTTTATGAGCATTATAATATTCACTGACTGTATCGGATACATGTTTATTCAACTCTGAATAACTGGACTTTGATTGTTGTATTGGATCAAATTATACTGTGAGTTATTCTGTCTGTATAACTCCAGGTGGAGTAACAGTAAAACTACCAAAATAGGGACAGCACAAAAACTAATCTGTTACAGTGTAAGAGTCTTATGTTTATGGATCGCTGCATGATTAATTCTACACTATGAAATTATGCTGTGAAAAACATAAAGCAGTTTATGAGAGGATAAGATATTAGTGTCCAAGAACTCCACCTGAGCATTGTTTACCTTAAAGTGAACCGGTGTCATACTACATTTTCTGCAAAGACAATCTTTGGTGTTTTACAGTTAGAGCACTTCCAAGGCTTGAAACTAACTCGATTAAAATCAAGTCAAGTCAATTTTAATTATATAACCCAATATCACACACACAAAAATAAACACTATCTGTGATGAGGCCAATGCTCAGTCAGTCCTGAATATGGCTGACAGTCAAATGTCATTAAAATCCAGTGGGGAGCAATGCAAATACACCGGCATGCAAAACAGACACCTAACACACTTTTTGTGCTTAGCTCTAGACGACGTACGTAACACAATGCGGAGTCTGGCTGAACACACCTCGAAATTTCCTGAACCAATTCATTAATTATAAACAATAGAGAGCTGAGAAAGCCTCTTAAGAGTAACTGACACAGATTTTGACCCTAATCTCCCTCTCTTATAAAGGTCAGGAACTAAAACACAAACTGAAACTGACAATGTTCTCAAGATACCATCAATGTTGGGTCTCATATCTCTGGGACAGCAGTGTGAACAGCTGAAACACACTCTACTCAAATGTGGTACATTTGGAAGGATAACAAAAACCTTCCTCTATCAGTCTTACTCCCTTCCTAGTCTCTCTCTCTTAGAATTTGTCAGCCATAGAGAAAACTGTGTGACAAATAAACAAGTTCGATAGCTCACGGCCCTCCTCATAATGGCCAAATATCTCTCTCTCTCCTCAGTAGTTGTGACAGCTTGTAGCCACAAGCTAACTAAAAGTTTGCCTGTTAAATTATAAATCCACCACCTTCCTTCCTTCTAACACTCTTTACCCCTTATTCTACACTTGTGGCCTCATAATCTGGACTTTAAGACCATAATATCTCTAAAACTGTTACACAACCACACTGAGTTTCATTATACTCATTAAATGTATACTGTATATGCACGCAAGTGACAGATTTATGGAAAAACCTGAATACACGAGTGGAGAAAGATACAGTGAATAGTTTGGTGAGTATGAAAATGATGTGAACCATTTCCAGTCACAGGATCTCATCTCAATAAGTAGCTGTGGGATAATTTGGGCCAAAACACCACACTGGCAGCTTTATGATACACATCAAAACACCAGAACCCATTGTTTTCTATGAAAGGCCACATAAGCAGCTTAAGTGGGGAACAGAACAGTGGTGCATCCAGACAAATTGATAGTTTATTTATGAATGAAGAGAGGACAAGTGATGGACAGAGTCTGCTGCATTTTTTGGTTCATTCGCAGTCAGAGTTTATTTTGTAGTGAGTGTGCCACTGTGTTATTTCTCATCCTTGATCTATGATAATTACCCATAAAAGCTAAAGTAATTTCATCAAATTTGCTTCACAGACCAACACAACAAGACAACTGTACCTTGATACTTTCTCGGTCTGTATGACACATCTACTGTGTGTCAAACTGATGAGTAGCAAATGACACAAAGTTATGCGAAGCGGTCATGAAAACAACAAATAAGGGGATTAACAAGTCTTATTAGACTCTAGAAACTTGGAGAATCAAAGCCGTTCTGGAAGCTTACTAAGACATTTTATGTTGTTTTCCTTTCATTTGTCACCAATCTGCGCTACAGACTCCACTGAGCTTTATAATAAAGCAGGTGGAAAACTTACTTCTTGAACTGCTTCAGGAAAATGCCCACATTCATCCCCCTCTTGGAGTCAAGAATACTGATCTGAAAACAAAGGAAAGACACCAAATAATATATGGTGTAATATATGATGCATGGTTGTGCTGCAGCTTTGGTTAAACACACAATGAAACACAGATATGTACCCACACACATCCTGGTTGTTGTTGCTTGTGTTACCTACACCCCACCCGTATTCAACCTATGGGACAGTGAAATTCCAAAAATTTCCACACAAAGAGTAACAACTAGAGATACAGTATGTGTGCAGAAATGGTGGCATTATATAAACTCTCTAAGGAGTGTTTAGTAACAAGTGTTCACACTGTTCATACTTTGAGGTTTGACCAGCTGCAGTCGGTTCATTGTGGGGAGAGTTACTCTGTGAGTCTCCCTTCACCTCACGCACATATTGCTTTACAGTTCACGTTACTTTCCAGGAGTCCTTGGTGACGCAAGCATGCTTTTGTTCTGGTTATGAACACAAATAATTTTTTTACACTCAAAGAAAAGCTGTAACTGAGCACCGTTACCTAACTCGTCCCTGCAGGGATATCTTAATACAGTGGGAGCAGTGTAGAGTAATGCAATGTAGCATTGTATGGTTATGAATCTGGGACTCTCTAATCCTGCCACTGGTGTGTTCAGGACCTGAGGTAACCAACCAATTGGAAAATCAATGACAGTGAGTGTAAGAGTTTGTAGGCTTCAGGACTCACTAATCAACCTGTGTATTTTCTAAATGTGAGCAAACAGAATAGAGTCAGCATAATTTAATATTTCCAGTTAAAATCTTAGAGCGCTTCAGTTGGTAGACCCTCATCAAGCAAGATTCAGGCCTAAATCTTGATTGTGACTGTCAGTATGAAAGATTTCTGGTTCCTTCTCAGTTTACAGAGTCTTTGTTCTAACATCTATTATTAGGACTTAATGGTGTGCAAAACACTTGTTCAATTAGGCTTGGTTTCTTTTTAATAAAAAGGAAAAATGTAACTCTAAATCTGAACACCTTCTTGGTCTAAAATAAATCGAGGCAATTATCTCAGCCCTCGAGTCCGTCTCATGTCTGTGTTTGACTATGGAGATATCTCACACTAATAGGCTGCTCGTTCTGCTTCAAAACAACTTGATGCAGTTTCATTACAGGACATAAATAATGCACTCATCATTGTATACTTTATGAAAAAACTAATGTGGTCCTCACTAGCATCAAGAAGAAAACTATACACTATAATTTTTGTTCAGAAAATGTCTCCTGCTGAAGCTGCCTCAGTATATCTCATATCTTCTTAAATTTAAAGCAACGGATCAGAACTGGATAAATCTTTACACGGTACACACTGAACAAGTAAACACTGAACTTGTGAAGGCTGCCTTCCATTATTGTACCATATGATGAAATGAAGTAAAACAGACCTTTAACATCATCCCAATTGATGACTTTAAACGTTTAATTCATGACCTTTTTCAAGATGTCTGTGATTGTTTATGATGCTGTTTGTTTGTGCGTTTGTGTGTTTGTTCAATGTCCCCACTCCCTCTACTGTACTCAGATCGCTCTGGTAAAATATAGCTTTATTTAATATATACAAATACAAATACAAAGACTTATTATTTTATTTTTATAACTTAAGTTATATAACTTTTTCTGTACTTCTACTTGAGTATAGAATGTGCTCACTTTTGCCACCTCTGCTGATTTACTAAAGGTTATATAACATATACCGAAGATTGTTAAAAAGTAGTTGCAGTGGTCCTGTGTGTTGAATATACTGACTTCCCAGACAAAGGGCCACTTTAATCTTACAATAATTGATGTAACCTAAACTCCATCATCACCTGTCTTGTGGTTGCTGGTGTAAGAGTTACAACAGACTGATTACAACTACTCACCTCATCCTTGCTGCTCTCCTTGAAGGATCGGGACCTAGAGACACGAGTTGAGGTTCCATTGGCCGCTGTCGTCCCACGTATGCCTGTCACGGCCTCCTCCTGCTGCCCGAACAGCTCCTCCACAGAGCGAACATCGATCTGGTATTGCTGCTGCCGCACCGCCATAGTCCAGATGTTGGGCTTCCCGCGTACCTTTTCCTCCGGTATCGGCTTCCAGAAGAAGCTGCGGACGCGCCGCTTCTTTCTCGCGTTGTGGTTGGTGGACGTGCTTGATGGAGGTGGAGGGGGCGGGGGTGCTCCTGGAGGTGGGGGCGGCAGGGGAGGAGGTGGGGGAGCTTCATGCCTGGAGGTGTCGGGGTCATCGCTGAGGGAAGGTAGGGTGGTGTGAGTGTGTCCAGACATAGAGGATGGGTCGGAGGTGGAGATGGAGGAAGTGGTGCAGCTGCTCCCCTCGCTGCTGCAGCTCTCTGGCTCATTGGTTCGGGCTGGACAACTCATAACAAGCATCACAGGGGTAAAGCAGTCAGCATATGAGCTCTATGCTGAGAAAGTATGGTCCACAAACTGATTATGTTTGATCAGTATATCCTCTTTTTCAAAACAATGTCCAAAGAAGTAATTTGTTTTCTTTTAGGTGCATCAATTCACTCTGAAGAACATTAAAATGCTGCAGTGTACGTCCCCTCACTGCTTGAAGAAGGTTGGTGTCCCTTCATCTAGTCACAATGAAGGGAGTATGTCCTTTGATTCTGTCCATCTCCATCACTCAGCTGGTCATCCATCGTGCTGAGCAGAGCCTTTGAAGGTTACCTCCCAGGGGGAGAGGGCGGGGGGCTGCGATGGCCATGGGGCTACAAGAGCAACAAGAACAACATAGGACGGGATTATACAGAGGCAGTCATGCATGATGTCATGGACAATCTGAAATTAGGGGAAATTAAGGGATGCGATAGATCAAAAGAGAAGGGGTACCCAGTCAAAGGGGCTCACGATAAGGGAAATGGCAAGTCCTATTTTTTTCTATTTTTGAAGGGCTTTGAAGTCAGGCTCTGGGGTGTATAATGGTCAGAGACATTACACCCACAGCTTAGCTTCTGTTACACAGTTTGGTATCATTTTCATTCTTAAGGAGTTCTCATGTAGCGGGCTGCTAGGAAAGATAACAAGTAATTGCAAGATAAAACAAAAATATGACTTTCACAAATAGTCTAATTTAACACTGTAACACAGTGGTTTCTCTATTGCTCTAGCAACAGGTCGACACTCATTTGGCCACAAGGTGAAAAGTTGATTTGTCAAAAAAATAAACAAGTTGAATTGAAATAAATTCTTGCTGCATGTCTAATACAAGTCTATTCAACTATTTCTGGCTTAATTTCATTCCTTGCAGAGACAGTATACGATGAACTCCCGTCAAGTGAAAGGCAACAATGACTAAAATCCAATTTACTGATTTAACTCAGAGGGAAATATACTGGTTGCCAATCAGCATGCAGTACTGACTGTAGCTTTCTGGAAAACAACCAGAAAAAAGTTGAGATCAGGCAAATTAATCAAAAGTGCTCATCTGTTATCTTGCTGGGGAGGACTCAAAATTCCCCCAAATACAGTACTTCTAAAGAAGGACTCTTCTGTTGCATTATAACATATAAAACATATAAAACTCAGATGCCAGCTCACTGTCAAGGTGGAGAAGGGCACGAGCCGAGGAACGTGAGCTAACAGAAACCTCATAGTCTTTATCTACAACCAGTAATTTCACAAGATGACATACAGCTGCAATGATCAGTTAGTCAATCAATAATAATAATAATACATTTAATTTAATGAATCTAAATCAGCACCACAAATCAACTACATTGACAACAAATTACACATAAAAGAAAAAAGTAGTGCAAATACATCATAAAACAAACATGAAGTCAAATGGTTAAATTAAACATACAGTATTTCAACATATGGAGCACCAACTACCATCAATATGAAGTGGCGGCTTCTTGGTAACAGATTGTAAATGTAATTGACACTGGACTTTTGAGGCTATTAGAGATATCAATATTTTAAGGGCTGCAACTAATGATTATTTTAATTATCATCCAATTCTTAATATTAATACACATTTTATTTACTTTAATGTAAGTAAATGGCGGCAATAAAAAAAAAAAGTTGATTTATCAGTGTGGCTCCATTGCAAATGTTAACTGGCGAGATGTGTAGAGTGCAGGCTACTTGAAATATCTAGTTTTCGTCTTCTAGACTAAGCCGGCTTTAGATTGAAATAAGTCTTCTAAAACACCAGAGGATAATTTAGTGAACACAGAAGTGGTTGTTGGTGATGAGGTAAATAAGTACAGGAAAAACCCAACCAGTCTTCAACCTGACAGACCAGAAGGGAAGGAAGTAAATCGCCCACCCTCCCCCTGTCCACTCTCTCTCCGTCCAATCAACGGTTGCACTGAAGCTCTCAGTTGGAGGGAAACTGGTTTTGTTTCAGGACAACACATCACTCACTGCCACAGTTGACATGGTCGCAGTGATCTGATACTCTTCTTGTCTAAACAAAGAAACAAATGGTGCATCTGACAAAAAAGCAGGAGATGAATCAGAGACGGTGGTGATGGGGGTGATAATACGTTGCTTCCAGCACCTTAACAGACAGAATTTGGTTTCAGGGCAAAGAATCTGCTTCCAGATCAGTCAGAGCACTTTCTATTGCTGTTCAGATTAAAATAAAACATGCTGACACCATAAAAGAGGCCACTTTCTGGTAATTTCTAGAATAAACACTTAGTGGAAATCTCCCATGAGTAAGCAGCCTTGTCCAACTGATACTCAGAGATTATTACTAATTAATAAAGCAGACGTCACAAATGGCCTCATGTTGCCAACATCAGCCTGCATGCTCAGCTGTCCCGTCCTCAGAGCTGGACCACACCATCACTCATGTCTAATTCATAAGACTGTGAGAACATCTGACCTCACACCGAGTCAGCTCCCTCTGTGGTGCTAAAAACATGGTTACTCTAACAGAGGCTATGGAGAAAACTAAGGGAAACAAAAGGGGTTAAACTGTCTGCCACCACACATGTTGCCTTTAATTCTCTCTTAAACATTTTTTCATGCCTCAGTTTTTGTATGAACTTTAGATGTACCATGGTACCATTAGTTAACCATCGTAGTTGTAGCTTTATATTTAGCGTACGGACGTGAGAGTGGTATCAATCTTCTCATGTAACTCTCAGCAAGAAAGCAAATGAGTGTATTTCCTAAAATGTTAAACCGTTCTTTAAACTTGAACACAGCCTGCAGTTTTCCTGTCGGCTCTTTTAACTGCAGTGAAACAGATATCTGATCACTGTGTGTTAATGTGGTACATTAATCCTGCCTCTCGAAAGAAATCAGCTCTGTGACAGTGATCGATTTGTGGTATTTCACATTCATTTAATATTTCAAACTGCATGAGGGGACAATAAACCAACCAACAAGGCTGTAACTGACATAAAATGATTTACAGAGGAGGAAACACACCTGTCAGTAACACTATACAGAGGAGCCCTGAGGGAGAGAAAGATGGTTTCCAGATTCCACACATCCACCTGCTGCTATGAATGAACACAGACAGATTGTGGGGCGTCCTCTAAAAGGTCCACCTGTTGTCACCCCCAAGGCTTTCCGGGCTTCTATCGGTCTTCATTAGTGACAAAGAATACCCCACCCACAGTCATTAGTCTTTGATCAGTAACACAGCCCAGGGCAACAGAGGTCAACGTTAACATGAATGTATAGATGGTTTTCTACGGCAGTGGGGTTGGGACCACTCGCAGGGGGTTGCAAAACAAATCAGAGGAAGAGGTTCTGACAGGTTCAGGTTTAAATTATATTCAGACCAGTTAGGTCCTCAGTAGGGTCTCTTTGTATTGCCGTCTTGACCCAGTAAGTCACGTAGGAATGCTGATTATTTTATTGAGTAATAAATTCAGAGTTTGGTCTAAAAAGACTCAACAAGTTGAGAAGGTGACAGTTTCAAAGGCCTTTTTCTGTCCAAAACCCGTCCAAAAACCAAAAGATATCTAGTTCACTATGATGAAGTTAGAAAAACAGATAATAATAACATTTGAGAAGTTGAAACCAATTAATTTCTGACATTTTTGCTGACAAATGGTATTACTTAAAACTGTTGCAGACTCATTTTCTGTTGATCAGCTGGTCCATTAACCGTTGCAGCACTACTGTCAATATGATGAAGGGACGTTGTTGTCAGCTGTTATCACATATTGCGTCAAAGTGTTGACATAAGGAAGAAGTTTAATAAAAAAAGAGAACACAGGGAGGTAAAAAAACAAATGGAAACAGCTGTTTGGGCAAACAACTAACTCACAAAGATGAGAAGAGCTGTTCGGTTCAACCTCATTATGGTTCAAGTCTTATTATTCTCAGGTCTACCTTGGACTTTTTTTTTTAATTAGTCAGCACACATTGATTTCAGGTTCTGGATCAAGCCCAACATTTTGAAAGACCTATAATCTGAAGGGCTGATTAACAGGATGACAGTTTTCTTTTCCACTCAGGGTGAACTGGTCACAACCCCTAGACAAACTGTATGCAATGTCCCAAGTAGGCATTTGCTTCATTTTAAAGGGGTCACAAGTACAAAAGCAACCAAAAGCATCAAATGAGGGAATGTTTTGTAAGAATGGTGTTTATTTACCACACCACTAGAGGTCTAGAGACATGGAGAACATATGCCAAGGAGCACTGAAGCTGTTTTGAAGGCCACTTATCTTTAGTTACATAATAAGACCTCTGACCTCCATGCTGGATGTTTTTTCTTTTCTTGTTCTATAAAAAAAAAAAGCCATCCTGCAAAGCTGAAAAGGATTTTAACCGGAGGTAACTGTCATCAAGCATCCGGGGAGCCACCAAGTCCAAAACAAATAAAATCCACTCTCACACACAAATGGGTAATGCTGAAGGTCAAGGCGCCACTGCCTGTTATAATAATCCCCTGTTGCTAACTTCCAGTTCAATTTCCTGAGGGTCAGCGAACACCCCGCTGAGCCGAGGTCTTTCACTCACACCGTAGGGGCAAAGGGGTGCGTTCACAAGGAATTTGGCGAGTCCTGCTCCATCATCATTGCCATGGGAACGCTCGTTAGCAGGGACAAGTTTTGCGTGTGGCTCAGTGGGATGTCGCTGTCAGACCTGTTTGTTTTTGATCCCTCTGACCACCTTGATCTCTTGTACAAACAGTGGTGGATTTCAGCGACACTGAGATTTTTTTTGAACTCGTCATGAATGTGACACAACCGTCTACAGTCTTGGGCTGCAGCTATTGATCATTATGAATTTATCTATTGATTATTTTCTTTCCCTGAGGCTGTAACTCTTAGTTTTGTGGCTGGATAAATGAGCTGAACCATTATCAGAATTGTTGTTATTGAATTTTTCTCTTTATTGACAGTTTTTAGCAGGCCAGTCCTGTCAACCAATGATAATTAAAACTATTTAAACTACTTTCTCCTGTCATTGGAGACTGTGCCGCTTCGACTACCACAAATGTCAAAGCCCTGTTGGCTTCCATGGGGGATCTGCAAAGGTTTTCCATTTCAGAATCAGAATTTAAAAAGGGTTTTGAACAGATATTCTGTTTGATCTAATTAAAGTATAACTGAACTATAACTGTACAAGAAAATATGCACACACTGTCAGTGTTTTACCACTTAGATTGTGTGTTTCTGTATCGTTCAGAAGCTTATTACGTTTTCTTACTTCATGTTCACATGGGAACTCTCTCCAACAGCATTGGCTTATCTCTCAAATTTCCATGTCCTTGTTTACAATGGTGAGGACA